TTTGCAACACTCTTGGAATGCGAATCACTTGAAACGTTATTACTAGTAGAACTTCTTGGAAACCGTTGTAATGACAACAAAGAGAGTCACTGTAAAATCCTATTATTAAGATCAATGAAACTTCTGAAGTTCTCGTGAAAAGTTTGAATCTACTAGGCTTTTCAGCTCGAGAATCGACTAGGCTTTTTAGCCTAAGAGCTTTTCAACTCGGGAATCTACTAGACTTTTCAGCCTAAGAGCCTTTTAGCTTGGGAATCGATTAGGCTTTTCAGCCTTAGAGCTTTTCAGCTCAGGAATCAACTAGGTTTTTCAACCTAAGAGCTTTTCAGCTCGAGAATCGACTAGGCTTTTCAGCCTAAGAGCCTTTCAGCTCGAGAATCGACTAGACTTTTCAGCCTAAGAACTTAAAATGACTTTTTAGCCTAAGAGCTTTTCAGCTCAGGAAACTACTTGGCTTTTTAGCCTAAGAGCTTTTCAGCTCAAGAATCTACTAGGTTTTTCAGCCTACGAACTTTTAAGCTCAAGAATCTACTAGGCTTTTCAGCTCGAGAGTCTACTAGGCTTTTCAGCCTAAGAGCTTTTTAGCTCGGGGATCTACTAAACTTTTCGGCCCAAGGAGCTTTTCAGCTGGAGACTTCTAGGATCCTCAGCCTGCGGCTTTTTAGCCCAAAAGTTTCTCAGCTCTAGAATCGACAAGCTTGAGAAATGAAAAAAACAATCGAGGAATTGTCATTTCAACATAAACAGAAAAGTGTGCTTTGTGGTCATAAAAACATCTATTTTACAAATCAAAGAAGAAAAATCCGAAGTCATATAGACAAGGTAAAGCATGTGCGCATAATTATATACTCTTAAGGGTATGATCAGATGGAAAGACTTCTTGTATTGTTACCACAAAGTTTCAAGTGTGAATCTCAGGAAAGTCTTAGTTTACTCGATTTATGTGAATGCATTAATAGTTTTACGATGTAACCATTGTTAAGAGAGCTTGTATCCCAAATTGAGCAATTAAGACCACCAAGATTGCTTTATATACTCGAAGGGTCACTCTATCCATTACCAATTAGTTTTGAGTTGGATGTTGTATCACGGTATCAAAGTTGGCTTTTAGGTGATCAGTGGCTCAATGCATAGTTATTTGTTTGTTTGTTCCCACAACGTGTGAGTCCAAGTCCCATGTGAGGGAAGACGGTAAGAGAGTTTGTATTTCACATCGAATAATTGAGACCGACAAGGTTGATTTATGTATTTGAGGAGTCACTCTACCCATTGGCAATTGGTTTTGTGTTGATTGCTCTGACAAGTAACAACCATAAGTCCAAACAATATGGTTCTCTATACTTAAAAAAAAAGAACAATACTATTAACACATAATTTGGGGACATAATGCATTTTGACCAAGAGTGATAGTGAAATGCATTTACTGCTGTACTGGGTCCCATCATTAAATGTATTCCCTATTACTTCATTGGTCACAATGCATTATATCCCACTAGTATTAGTGCAAAAAAAAAATTATACATAAATATGATTATTCAATCTTACAATGCTCTCAAAACCGCGTTAAATAGACATTTGATGCATCTTGAACAAGAGTGTTCAAACTTCAAACCATTCAACTTTGTTCAAAAGAAAAACTCTGTCGATATACCAAACGCAACTGTCATTTTTAGCAGATAACTTTCTTTTTGCTAGAGAAATATATTATAGGTGTCAAATAATCAACTCATATGGTAACAGCCCACAAAAAAAGGTGGTTCTAGTTTTAGAATTAGGTTAGTTAAAAATAAAAAAGGTTTCTGAATTAGGAGAAACAAAAGAAAAAACAATAAATGGAATGGAGATCTACTGCTTCTTTTAATCCATATCTTAGAAAATTTATCCTCTTAATCATTGATGCCTCATTGAATTTGTGTCATGCCCTTCTTAGTTCAAAAACAACAAAAAACAAAAAAAGGAATATGGAGGAATTATCCATGTCACTTTTTAGATAGGCGTGGAGCGAAAGTTTATTGATTCTTTAATGTGCATGAAGACTTAATCATCCAGATTAGTTTTCAAGGATTTGTGTTTTACATCTTTCAGTGAATCCTAGACTTATAGAAGAGTAACTTCTTGGACTTGATGATAGTGATTTGCTTGTAATTGTCGGTGATAGTACTAATATGGTTAGCAGCCATGACTCTGAGGTAGCTGTGTGATTAAAGTGATGCGAGAGGCATTGATGGAGAGTTTTTATGGCAGCCATGTTTTGCTTTAAGTTGAGAATGACAGCAACAAAATAATGTCCTTCATGATTTGGTTGTTGATTCCACTAGAAATTGACTCTTAGGAAGTGATGGAATCATTGAGTGAGGTTATTGCTACTCAATTTTGTGGACCTGAGAGAAAGCTCATTTAAGTGAATTATCATGATTAAAGCAAGATTTTGTATGATCAAGTAGTTAGAATTTATTTGTCTAAAGGTTGTCTAAGTGAGAAAGGCATGTGGTAGGTGGTCTATTTATTAGGTTCATTCATTGTACACCTAAATACACATCAATGCGGTTTCTATGTGTATTAGCTTCTATACTCATCAGTTTCATTGACCTTCTTCAGCAAAAATATTAGCTAAGCTAAAAATTCGTTTCGTTCAATTGATTTTGATGCTTTAGAAATTGTCCAAGACTGAAATTCTTTGCCTGGACGTTCCTTCAGAGCAAATCGTTGTTATTGACTTGTTTGTACTATTATTTGTGGCTTTTTGGTAACATGGTATTCATGTTTTTTTATTAGAATTCCGTTCACCAACTAACTATATTATGAGTGGAGAGCCCCCCAGGCCCACACACCCGCCAACCCCCAAGTTTTTGATGACTTGTAAAGTAGACGACCACTATTGCAAAGCACTTTGCCTTGATACCTCCTACTTCGGTAGCTGCTTTATAAAAAGTTCCCAGGTTTAGTGTTAAGGAGATCTCTCTCCCTCTCACCGGTACACCATGAAACATGCTTTTGCACACACAGCCGCATACAAACTAAAGCATTGAGAAAGTTTGTGTAACGTTAGTGAATGCAGCAGTCATAAAAAAGAAGATGATTTTTGTTGTGCATTGTTGGGAATGCCCAAAAATAGCTTAAGCACATTTAGACGATCATTCAGCCTTAAATTCACTATGGCTCATGTCTAATCTGACCATAAGAAGCAAGCCCCTCAAGCTGTCATGCAAAACTGAGAATAAGAATTTATGAGGGCCTCACTTATATGCAGTTTATCAATTACTTGCTTTTTAAAGAAACGAGATAAAGCTTGAGATTATTTTGTTGTCCATTTTTTGCAGGGTGATGAAGCTTGAGTCCATTTCAGTTTCAGGTTCTAGGTTTCAAGCGATTTAGAGGCATTGTGTTGGTCAGATCCAGATGTGAGCCGTATGTTGCACCATGGGGTACTGAACTCCATGTATTAGAGTAGTCACTCTAGTGTGATTTGTGCATGAAAATTGTGTTTTTGAAAAAAAGGTTTTTCATTGAATGCGTGTTTTCAAAGCATGTGTTTTTTATTTAAATACAACAGTAGTTTGATAAATAACTATGTTATTTGGGTCAATAAGTTTCAAAAGATGTGTAGTTAAATAACTAACTGAAATAGTATTATAGTGTTGAATTGAAATATGAATTTTTTTTTGTTGATCTGATTGCTATTTATAAAGATTTCTAGTACCGTTAATGTTTTAAATTTACATGGATGATTCATAATGTGGTAGTTGGATATGGCTATTAAGAAAGGAAGAAACATTCAAAACATTTTATAGCCATTGATCCATCAAATTATAGGAAAAATTTTAAAGATAGAAAGGGACATTGGCGGCGTCAGCAATAGGCATTTATTTAATTTTAAAAACGACTTGTGGGGGAAACCATGTTTATTTTATTATGAATTATGATTGTGTACATCAAGCAGTGACTTTTAGGGATGTAACAAGCATTTAAAAGTTTGATGTCTCCTTTTTATCATATCTTTTTGAGGACAAAAAAAGGTTTTGAGGGATGCAACACATGCATTTTTTCTTATATTTGAACTTCTGTTGTTAGCTTAGTTGGACTATGACAAAGGTGTGTCTTTTCATCTATCTTCATTTAAATGTTAGAACATGTTGATTAAATATTCTGACTTACAAATTTTAGAGTATTAACGGTCAAATTGATGGAATTTGTCCACTTTGGATTTCTCTTTTGAGTGATATTGTCCGAGGTATAAGAGTGTAAAATAGCATACAAAGGCAATGTAATCATAGCAACTTATATCGCATCTAAGTAGATATATATAACTCCTTGTTTAGGTTTGAGTTCAAGAATTAGTCTGTAAGAATGTCTAACTGTTATTTATAAATCTCATTATAAATGAGAGTCTTGTGCATTTAAGTACATCGTTCTTGTTCATATGTATACAACTGGCAAAACTAAAATTACTAGGATTGATATCTCTTTTGTATACTTATGTGTTGTCCATCCTTAGAGATCAATGGCCCATTGATCTCCCTCTAGGCTTGTGCTGTCAGTGAGTGTAGTGTAGGGTTACTCTGACTCAGAATTTTGACACAATTAATGAACATGGCTTAGAATTTTGGTAGTGTGTTCTGACTCTTTGAATTCAATGCCATGCTTTCTAAATTTTTTTATTAAATTTTTATCTCAAATAATGTGACATAATTTTTTATTATCAAATAAGTGAATTTTATTAATATTTAATAACAAAAATTATGTCACATTATTTAAAATAAAAATTTGATGGCGTGCATAGCATACTTCGTATGTATAATCACGTAATATTTTGTCACTCTCAATCAACCACTAAAAGAAAATAAATAAATGAATAGAAAGAGAAGCGACAGATAGAAAATCATCATTCTACAAGCAAACCAGCGGATACAATACGAAAGAATCGAAAGGCGGAAAATACGTGCAATATGAAAGACTTCATGGCATGGCAGTTATGGATAGAAACCCATGCACTGCCATGCTTATTTGTTGGACACTGAACTGACTACTCCTAATACCTCAAGGACCAGGTGGTGCAGGAATACTGCTACCACTCCCCGGGACCGGGACCGCGACGTCGAACCCGGGATTTGTGACAAAGGTGTCGTCACCACCGGGAACTTAACTGCCGCTGCTGGTCCCGCCACCGGATGGAATGCTGCCAAAGCCAGGGATGGTGGCACCGGCTCCCCCATTGGTGCCGGTGACGGGATTGTATGTGAATGGATTGAAAGGTGACCCTTCCGTTGGGACCATGACCCGGCCGAAGCCCGGAATGAGCACACTGCCATCAAAAAATGACTCGGGTTGTTTCTTGTCTGTGTTCTTGGAGTCATTCATTGGGATGTCACGTCCTGCATGTGCATGACCTGATAAGGAGAGCAGGACATTAAGGATGAATAGGAAAGCAAGGATTGATCCAGATTTGTAAGCCATTTTCTTCTCTGAGGGAGAGAGAGAGAGAGAGAGGGAGGTAACACTAACGGGCATTTTGTCTTTATCAACAGCTTCAGCGGCCAGTAAATGTAGTGTAATTTGTGGCAAACTAGAAATCGTGTGTTTCTGTGTGGAATCATATGTAATGTCAAGCTTTTTTCTCTCCGTTTATTCCCTAGTGAGCATTGAAATTCAGGGGAATGGTTGAGACCTCTATGAACGAGTAGGCAGTATACCGTTTTGCTAGTAGTAGTAAAGGAACAAGCACCAGCACAAGGGCAACAGTACAATTAATCTACACTATAACACTACAAGAAATTGGACTTTTAGAGGTGATATTTAATTTGCAGCTAAAAATGTCGCCACTAGATATATATTTTTAATGGTGAAAAATTATTGTTGTACCTAAAGATAGGGTGTGAATTTAATTAGTGGCAATTTTAATATTGCAGCAAAAAAAATCACAAATTCATCACTAATATTCAATATCAAAAATTATTTAATGACAACAATTTAGATTAGTCACTGATTGTCTATAATTTTAGTGGCAACAATTTTTTCTCGCAACAAATTTTCTTCTTATATTATTTCCAGCTACAGATTTTCTGCTGCCACTGAATGTTATAATTTTAGTGGCAACAATAATTGCCACTGCTTAATCTAAGCAAGTCCTGCCAAGTTGCATCCTAACGAGCTCATTTCTAATCATCCCTATTCTTCACTCCTACCCGATAGCCACCGTCTCTTTGTCTCTCTCGCTATGGCTCCGAAGGGAAAAGAGAAGTCGAAGCCCTCTGTTTCACAACCAGCAATTGCCATCGAGGATCTCCTCACCACTCTCAATTGTCACATCGACCGGTCAGAATTCGATCAAGCCATCCTAGTCATAGATCAAGGTCAATATCAACATATACATGCAGACCTAGATTTTGATGTATATGATTTGTTGTGAAATCTATTCTTGGATATCTGTAAATAAATGTATTTTTCTGGTTGTAGTTTTGGCCATTGTGCATGGTGATGAGGACGCGATTCGATGTAAAATCGTTGCATTAGTTAAGGACGATAAGATTGATGAAGCTCTTTTGGCTATCGTCGAGTATTCGAGGAAGGTTCTGAATGATTTTTATACATTTAACTACAATAATTTTTGCGGCTAAATGACAAATTTCTTGTAGTGTAACGGCCTGTCTGTTTAGCGTAGTTGGGCAAACCTAGGGGTGGTGGGTTTCATATATCCTAACCTATGTTAATTACGTCAAATGATTCTTTTATCCCTAGTAAAATATCCTATCTACCAAATCACATCTCAACCTCTCAATTACTCTTCTATGTAATTAAATAAATATGGGTATGAATTAGATTGACCCCATGGGTAATATAGTTATTTACAAAACAAATGCGCGTTTATAATTGTGATAAATTCATGAGTACTACATGTATATATGTTACTTACCAAATACATATATGAATAGGATTCAAATATGAATCTCATGTACACAAAACCATCCAAACATTATGAGAGTGTATAAAAAAACATTCAAACAAGAATGAGAGACAAAGAAAGATGCCAACATCTATAGAGAGGTAAAATTCATTAATTATCAATCTCCCATTTGAAAAAAAAATCAAGAGTTACTAACTGAGGTAACATTGTTAGGTAACTTGGGCACATCTACAAAATAAGCAATGCAATTGGGATATATAATTTAGAGAGATAATGATAGTGTCTATTAAATTATTAGTGGATTTCAGCATTAAATGTACTCTATTATCAATCAAATTGTTCTAATACGATATATCCTTAAATTATGTCCTAATATCATAATACCACCATCACCACCAGTTGCCAACGCCAATTTTTTTTTTAGAGGAGGAAAGGGAAGGAAAACTTGTACCCTTGACCTCAAATGTTACCTAACAATGTTACCTCAGTTTGTAACTCTTGATTTTTTATCAATCAATTGATAAAATTCATTAATTATCAACCTCCCACTTGAACCATTGTGATGGCCCTTAAATTCCATCCAAACCCACATTCTAGGTCTTCAGGCATTGGAACATGGGCATGTGTGTCTAATTGCACATATAGATTCTTTGGACAATATGATTCCTAGGAATTTCATTGGGCCTTATGTCAAGTTTAAAGAGAAGTCGAAAGGCAAAAGGATCTCATGCGATGACATTCTGAATCATCACATTTAGGGGTGTTAATTCTGTCAGTGTCAATTTCGTTCGTGTTATTTTTGTGTCATATCACTTTCAGTATATATCGGGTTCGTGTTAATAAAAAATTATTTAATTTGACAACAATTAATATAATACTATTTAAATTTTTTTAAAAAATTATAAAATTTTTATTTTTTATCTACAATACTCGTTAAATAATTATTTTCTATTTACAGTATCTATTAATCGTGTTAGTCGTGTCGAACCTTAATTTGACCAATTTTCTACTCGTGTCAACTAATCGTGTTATTTTTGGGTTCGTATTGAATTCGATTCGAGTTAGATTCGTGTTAACAGAAAAAATTGACATCCCTAAATTCACATTGGTTGTCTGTGCCTAAGGGACCAACATTGCCTTGACAAAATGGCTTTATACAAGTAACGGGACTGTGAGTTCAATTTGCCAGGGAGGTTTAAAGTATGATATGCATTTGAGTTATAATTTTTTTGGTTATATTTGAATTATGTAATATTTTTTATTTTTTAGTGATGGCTGTAAATTTTTAGCTATAATTAATTTTACTAATAAAAGCTAAAGAATTGTTTAAAATCTCTGCACTGCATTGTTTTTATGCACTAGTAACATAATACGTGCAATGCATGTGAATAATGTTTGTATACAAAATATTAATAAAAAGTATTAAATATATGTGTACCTACATTAAATATCATTTCAAATTTATCAAAATTTTATGTTTTTATCTCTCGTATTATATTATAAAACTCAAAAAATATTGTCTATTTCATGCAATTCGTTGTCTTAACTATAAGAAAAAAGATAAAAATAATTCATTGGAAATTCATTTGATTAAGTTTCAACTTAGCAATTTCGTTTTCCAGATTGTAATTTTTACTTCAAAAAAATGTAACTTGACTTCAAAAAATTACAAATTTCCTAAATCTATTTTCTTAACTACCAGAATTGTCTACTAGAACCAAGTTTTTCGGTACAGTATATGTTTCTTCACTGCTTGCCATTGTTCTGGTTGTTCTCTCTCTCTCTCGTTAAAAATCCCCATCTTCTTTTTGGTACTTACTAGAAATCCCTATCTTCATTATCTTTGTAACTGGATTGAGATGTCCTCCAATTTTCTTCTTGGTGAATCATTTACCATGTATTTAAGTCCAATTCATTGTATGTAAGTAATCCTTCGTTTATTAATGGTGCATGATCCACCAAGAAGAAAAACTGAAAGAAAAGTGTATGTGTTCAAATTCCATGCATCGCACCAAACTGTCACTTTAAGCATACACACAAAAAACTCATAAAAAAGAAAAACTTGTTTTGATATTTAGTAATACTACTAATGCAACACGTACTTTGCACGTAAATAATTTTTGTATACAAAATATTAATAAAAAATATTATATATATGTGTACCTGTATTAAGTACCATCTCAAATTTATCAAAATTATATTTTTATCACTCGTATTATACTATAAACTTAGAAAAATATTGTTTGTTCCTAACAATTTATTGTTCAAACTATAAGAAAAAAGATAAAAACAATTCATTTGAAATTTATTTGATTAGGTTTCAACTTATAATTCATTAAATAAAATAACAATAACTGTCAATATTTTTAAGTCAATAAGGATAAAATATAAGGTTAGTAATATTTTGGGTCTTTAAAGTATGCGTTTTTCTGTCAATTTCATCCTTAATATATGAATTTTATCAATTTGGTCCATACAATATTAAATTCTTTTTTAAATGGGTCATAACTAGACGATCCATTAAGTTTTTTGACGAAAGTGACCACGTGTCATTTTATCAGATAGTATTACGTGACCAACACGTGATTACTTCTGTCAAAAACTTAACAAATTGTCTATGTATAGATCATTTAAACCACTAACTTACTTTAGAGACTAAATTGATATAATTGATACAATGAGAATAAAACTGATAAAACATGTATATTTTAGGGACTAAAAGTGCTATTAATCCTAAAATATAATATACTATTCTATAATATATATTTTAAAAGAATATTAAAATTCTAAAATTCAAGTTTTATTTAAAAATACACTATAATTTATTTTTTTATATAAAACTCTTAATAAAACATGAAGAGTTTACTGTGATTGAAGAATTATGTTGATTTAACATAAATTATTTTTTAAAAAAACTACACATAAAAAAATTATTTTTTATCTTAAAAATGAAATGGTTGAAATTTTACATAAAAAAAAATATTATCTTTATATATATATATAAGCATAATATTATCTTTATATTTGAAATGAGTAATGTTAGATTGATGAAAATTTTGAATATTTTTTTAGTACTTTATTGAAAACTATACTGATGCATATATTTTTTAAGAGTAACATAGTCAATTAAAAATTTCATAGATACTGATATTTATGTATAGGGAATATAGAATTAAAAGAAATATTAGAGGTAATTTGGAGATTTAAACACATAAGTATATAATAGTAGTTTAGATATTTAACTATGGAAGAATAATGTGGTATTTAAAATTATTTATAAGAGTAAAATAGTGAATGAAAAAATTTTCATTCTAAAATAAGTTTATTAGTAGTATAGATATAGGATATATATATATATATATATATATATATATATATATATATATATATATGATAATGATGAGATCCGGAATATGGGCCGCCATCCAAGAGCCCAATAAAGTCCAGGGAACCTTTGCCAGCATAACAGCCCGAACAGGAGCACCCACAGATGGTCTACATCGAGAGCGGAGTGGGCCAAACCCAAAGAGTAAATCCCAACAATACCAGAAGA